GGAGCCCGGCTGCAATTCATCATCATTTTATCTGCACAAATTTAATTGGATCCTATCAAATTCTCCTGATTCTCCCTCCTCACTTTCAAAACGCGGCGGGCGAGCAAGATAAATGTGACGGCCGCATCGAGAGGGAGAAAAGAAAGAGAGGGAGGGGGGGTGAGGGGGGGGGGAGTAACAAGGTCTTGACGAGAAATTGGTGTTTTTTTTGTGTCTTGGAGCTCGGAGAGAAATAGAAACAAAGTATTCTCAGATAAATTCAACAACCGGAGGGGGAATTACTTTTCTATGAAAGGGTTCAATTCCATTGAGGTTCTAATTCTGGATCTGGAAATGGGAATGTATTAGGGACACTTGTTCATCTGAAAATGCTAGTTGCCTGGCTGTCTCTGGCCTTAATGCTAGGGATGCACCGATATTTATTCTTCGGTACTCGCTGTTACCGAATACCGATTCCGGAAGTCCCATTAAAGAAGAGTACACACCGCCCGGCTTCCTGATTACCCGGGAAGCTGCCTCCATGCCCCCTCATCCTCAGGTGACGAGGAAGCATGGAGCCGGCTTTCTGGACAATCAGGAAGCATGGGGGTGGGTAATGACTTCCCGCCCGGCTTCCTGATTGGCTAGCTTCCGACCAAAGGGGTTTAAGCGATAGGCGCTTCTGATCGCTAACCAATGACGGTGAAGAGATGGCGGTCAGCAGATGCGCCCGGCGAGGTAAGGAAACTCAGCCGTACGACCCCACCAGCCATCAGGTGACAGGAGAATCCTACCGCACTCCTTACTGGTATGTCCCTTGCGGTGGGTGCTGTGGTGACTGCGGGTGGCGCCACCAGCCATCAGAACAGACTCAGCGATGAGCGACCGACGAGGCAATGAGAGAGCGAGGATTCAGAGGAGAGGACGCGGCTGCCGGACAGCCTGGAACAACATGCGTCCCGGGAGACGTCTTGTCCGTCAATACATTACATCCGGATTTTCTTGGCTGGAGAGCTTTGCAAACACAATGAATCTGCTGAGGGTTGGTGCAGTGCACTCCGCTCATGGATTTCACGCTCTCATTGACCCGTCTTCTGCTCGCTATGAAATTTTGACATGGAAATTCCCTGAAAAGGGTCTTTTTCCAGCTCCCCATCCCCCCAGCACGCACGATCCTCCAACAGGCAGAACCGCATCTGCTTTCCACTCCAGTGCATGGCAGACAGAGACTGCCGGACCTCATAACCCAACACCAATGGTCCCCTACGGACTACACACACAATATAAACTTTTATTTATAAAGGGGTCTTCTACATCAAATAGGAATGTACTAAAAAAAAAGCCCCATCCTACAGATGCAGTCACTCATGAGGGCCCTTTTGGCCCCTCCCGGTCTTTATAAAGCTGACCTCCGGCCTTCCCTTCAGTCTCGCACAGTTGTACCGGCTCCTCTTACTCTGATATGACTGCACACTGCGAGCTTCTGACAATGTGCATTAGAATCTGCAGCAAGTCAGCATGAGCTAGTGCTCCCCAGCCATGACATGTGGGCGTCACCTAGAGTGGTCTGCATGCAAATACAACCTGCCTAGGAACGCCCACTCTGCCAGACTGATATTCTCCCATCAAGACTTTTTGATATTTGCATAACTCCTCCCAAGAGCCGGCCCACTGCTTGCATCAGGGCTCTTAAGAGGAGTCTGAGGCAGGGTGCTGTGATGTCTTCAGGAAGCTATGTATAGTCCTGATGACGGGACAGGGACCCAGTGATGACGGGACAGGGACCCAGTGATGACGGGACAGGGACCCAGTGATGACGGCAATGGGTCTAAATTAGGAAAACGGAGGGGAGGGGAGGAACCAGAGAAGATAAATTATAAGCTGATTAACTTCAGTAAAGAGTCACGTAAAATGTTGGGTTTCCATTGCTGCGTTCTGCAGGATACAGTATATAGATTATAGAAAGAAAAGACACAGACCGCGGGGATTGAACCGTCCATTAAACCAGTTCACTGAGAAGCATTTAACAAACACACTCGCTGACCTGTAAAACAAGCCTTGGAAGGTATAAATCTCGCCGTTCCCTTATGGCCGGCTACTGCCAAACCATAAAACGTAATATGGATTTCTGCAAACACTCATGAACCGTATGGCCGGCCGGCCACAGATACCTCCCCCGTCCCTCACACCCCTTCAAATAAAAAATGTCAGCTCGTAAACTGTCAATGAAGGGGGAGGATTCCACGCTCGCAGGGCGCCATTTTATTGACGTGCACAAGACCTCCCGCAGATTTTACTGCGACTGTGCGTTTGTTTTTTCCCCCTCTTCTGTGCTTTACAGCCAAGTCTTCCTATCCTCCAGAGAAGGATTATATTGATTTTACAAACATAAAGCCAAAATGGAGAAGATGTGTGTGAAAAACTAAGTACACCCTCACTGCTTCCATAGGGATTGAGCCGGGTGCTCCTTCTCTACAGGGAAGATGACAAGTAGACGACATTCATCGAGATTCTGAAAATGATCGTTTGTATTAGGGGGATGCACCGATACCGGTTTTTCGCTATCGAGTACCGATATTTTTTTTCCGGTACTCGCCGATACTGAATACCGATACCGGACGACCCATTAATGTAATGATTCGCCACCCGGCTTCCTGATTAGCCAGGAAGGCGTCTCCATGCTCCCTCGTCACCAGGGAACGAGGAAGCATGGAGCCGGCTTTCTGGCCAATCAGGAAGCCAGGGAGGGGTAATGACTCGCTGCCTGGCTTCTTGATTGGCCAGCTTCTCGACCAATCAGCAAACCGGGCAGTCAGTCATTACAGGGCGCCCGGCTTCCTGATTGGCCAGGAAGCCGGCTCCATGCTCCCTTGTCACCAGGAAGCGGGGGGCGGGGGGGAAATGACTCGCCCAAATGCTCCGATGCCTAGCCCGATACCAAAACTTCCAGTATCAGGAAGCTGGACAGCGAGTCATTAAAGGAGAACTATGAGGCGAGTGCTTTTCACTCACCTCATAGTTCTAGCCGACCTGTGACAATGAGACTGTCACAGGTCGGCTCAGTAGATCGAGCTGTAGCTCGCGGTATACTGAGCTTAGGGTGACGGGAGGACGCTAGTTTGTGTCCTCCCGTTACCCCAAGGAGAACTATGGCGAAAAGCCCTGACCCTGGCCGGGAAGCCGGCTCCATGCTCCAAGTGATGAGGGAGCATGGAGCGGGCTTCCCGGCCAATCAGAAAGCCGGACAGGATTTCATAACTTGCTGCCCGGCTTCCTGATACTGGAAGTTCCGGTATCGGGCTGGGCATCGGAGCATTTGGGTGAGTACGAGTACTCGTCCAAACACTCGGTATTGGCACTGATACTAGTATTGGCATCGCTGCATCCCTGGTTTGTATAAAATACTTTTTTTTGACAATTGGAATCATTGTTACCATTTAGTAACAGTGAAATCTCCTCTCTGGATAAATGAAGTCAGCGATAAGCATCTCGCCCGGATTTCCACTACTTCATTTGTATCGCTGGCAAATTGTCTTCTGGGACTGGTGACATGGCAAAGCCGGGATTTCTTATCCATGATTTCTCTATTATCCTAATACAATGAAACCAGTCAGCCATTTTTAACTAACATCCCCCCGTGTCCACTGACCATTTCCCATCAGAGTATCCCTTTACCGACCAATCAGGAAGCAAAGCATCGAGTCAATACATGCTGCCTGGTTCCTGATTGGCCGGGAAGCATGTATTGACTCAATGGCCGATAAGGGAACCCTGATAGGAAACGGTGCAGCCAGGTGAGGTCCCGGCTTCAGAGAGGCACACGGGTCCGGGTTTTCTGCCTAATAAAAGGTCAGAAACGTCTTCTGTTACCATCGACTTTTAAAATGGGTGACAGGTGCTCATAAAGAGTCCAATGGACTTAAAAGCTGAACCTCAGCCTTCCCTCCAGTCTTGCACCGTTGTACCGGCGCCTCTCCTGGACTGATGTTGCTTCCTCTGATTTCACTGCACACTCTGAGCGTCTCACAATGTGCATTAGAAGCTGCAGCAAGTCAGATAGAGCCCCCCTCATTTCCTGGAAGGAGGACATCTGGCATCATCTAGCGATCCCTCTCCAGCCTGACTGTCCCTGGCCCGCCCCTTCCATTCATTGGATATAATTTCTTTCAATAATAGAGGATCTGCATCCTATGTGGGTGTTACCTAGGGTGGCGTGATGCAAATACAATCTGCTTAGGAACACCCACTTCTCCAGACTGACATCTACTCATCAAAGCATTTTGATATTTGCATAACTCCTCCCAAGAGCCAGCCCACTGCTTGCATCAGGGCTCTTAAAGGTAATACTGAGGCAGGGTGCTGTGGTGGTTTCAGGAAGCTATGTACAGCACCCTGCCAGCCCCTTCCACCAGCCATGATGTGTTTGCATTGCAGACACCCAGTTATGACATCATTGGGTCTAAAATAAGATATATATGCATATATAATGGAAAGAGAAAGGTTTCATTTAAAAATGCCATTAGCATGGTGATAAGGTTGGAGGGAGGAACCAGGGAAGGCAACATAGACGCAGATGAACCTTCAGCTGTAATCTGCCTGGGTAATACAAGCTGCTCTCGCACACTTTTTCATATGTGGAATGAAAATACACATCCCTGTATTGTCTGGCTGTTTCCCAGAATCCTCTGCTCATGTAATTTCAGCCTCTGAGCCCCTGCTATAGAGAATATTGGCTATCAGTGATTTACAGATATAGGTTCTGTCAGTCTCTAATGAATTGTCTCATGCTCTTCATCAGTCTGTCACTGATAAGACAAACATGGTTCTTATTACATACGTGCTGTGTTACAGCAATGATAATAACACCCCCTACTCTGCAACTGATTGAAGAGTTAAGAGGAGCAAAAAAAAACGCTGCTGCCGACCGATCACAGAAATGCATTTGCGCCATTGGCTGATGGAACGCTGTAGAGAGAGAGATTACATGGGGTTCTGCACGCGGCGCAGCGCGAGGCTCTTACCGAAGTGTTCTGACATTGGATGCTGGTGCTGTTGAAGCGCAGTGCGGTGACACGGGTCACGCTCCCCGGGATGTGGAAGATGCACTCGTAGTTGCGTTGGCCGGACTGCGGCTGGGGGAGGTTCTTGGCGGTCAGCGTAATAGGTTTCACCACTCCGACTGGGATGTAGATTTGGGTTGAAGGCAGAATCTGAGGACAGTCCTGTCATGGGAACAAAGAAGAGCTTTTTAGCCAGATGGAAAAAAAATCAATAGAACATGTGTCAGCATCACCAAATCACATTATTATTGTCGATAAATAATACTTTGTCATAAATTCCAAAGAAAAAATGATTCCAAGCAGCCCAAGATCACAAACGCTCTTCATGCCAGGAGCATCATTGGTGTTTCATGTCATTAGAGACTGCAGAGAGTCTACTGCTTCCAGAAAGACCTCTGATGAGATATGTGGATCATCAATACATAAACATCATGGCTGCTCCCAAGTAACAGTGATACAAAGAAACATGTACAAAGTAATACAAAGGAAACCAGTCATAGAGGATACACAAGACCTATCATTTTGAGAGTTAGTTGAAAGGGACACATAGAAAGCAGATAAAAGTTCACGGTCATTGCAATTCATTTACAAGTCAATACTCCCACTTCTGACTGCTGGAGTTTATGGGCCACATAACAAATACTGAGGGGCTGCATGTGGCCCTTAGGCCAAAGGTTCGATACCAGGGGCCTAGCTGATATAGCCAGTGAGGAAGAGACAGATACAAAGCAGGTGAATGTTCTCCTGGCATGTTCCAGCGGTCCTGTTGGGGGCAAGCTGTCACAAGGGACAAGATCGTAAGTTTGACATTAGCCCAAAGCCTCATATAAAACCAAGCGCTGCTCTGCACACCTATACGTCCTACTGGTTTCTAGGTCACCCCTTCTGTAAGACAAGCGTCAGTGCTGCTGGCTCAATAGCCACTGGGTTCCTCTGCCCCCACATAGGCCATAGATGTTCCTCAGAGGCTACCTTTAAAAACAGCTGTGCTCATAACTAATGACTGAACTGCAGTTGATGAGCCGCAGCAGTGTTTCAGGTCCTATGCCAGAAAACGAGAACTCGTCTGGTTGTGATCCTCTTGTAACCTCTAAAAGATCTGTATTAGGTGGCTGAAGTTCCATCCAATGAAGAGATGAGAGGTGCTAACCATCGCATGCTTAATGTGCCAACACCGCCCTTACACTTCATCAGCAGATCATTGTAGCAGAGGAAGCAGATGCCAGCAGTTGGGAATCGGATACATTCACCTCTCATGGTCCCTGCTTTAATGTAAGATCCCCCCCGCTCAACAACCCCGTTATCTCCAGCAGAAGTCTCGTCAATACTCGTCTCTCATCTGCAGTGCAATGATAATCTATAAAGGATAGGACTGAATCAAATCCAGCCTTGAAGGATCATTCCAACATCTTATCACCTAGCCAGTCAACCCAAAAGGGACATTTCGGGTAGAAGATGGACAGTTAGAAGAAGCCAACAGCGAGACTTCAATGCTCCAGTTCCCAGGTCTGCATACGGGAAGTGTGAGAACACCCAAAACAGAGAAGGACTTCCTCTCCGTAGTCAAAGCCAGGTGGTAAGTCTGAGATTCCACTCATCAATAAAATATTACTTTGGGGTGGAATGACGCTTTTAAGGTGGGCACAGACATTAGCTGGTGGTCAGACGTGGGAGCTAGGCAATCTTTTCCCCAAAAAACATGTGTATAGACATGCTTATTCGTGTCACCCAAACCCCCGGCTGATGTTCTGATTATCTTGGGGGAACATTTGAGATCCAGGGTGAAAATATGACTTGGCAGTTTGACTTTCCCGGGAGCAAAATCAGGCTGCGGTGTCTGCTCTAGTCTTCGGGGAACCGTAACCCCCAACCTTCCCAAAAATAGAAAAAAGATATTTAGCTTCTACCAATTAGTGCTACATGGGTAATCAGCCAGGGGTGCATGTACCAGTCTGGAGGGAGCCATAACTCTACCCCCCCCCAAAAAGGAAATCTCAGTTCTATGAATTAGTCCTTCAACTGTAATTCGCCACCCTACTAAAATCTCATGTGAATAATCACTACGGAATGGAACGATGAGCTTTCTATGGAGCAAAACACAGCAATATTTTTATATTTATATACACTATATTGCCAAAAGTATTGGGACGCCCCTCCAAATCATTGGATTCAAGTGTTCCCTGAAATTTCCTTGCTACTAAATATTCCGCGGTCGCCTGTTAGCGGTATTATAACAAAGTGGAAGCAACTGAGAACAACAGCAACTCAGCCAGGAAGTGGTCGGCCACGTAACATGACAAAGCGGGGTCAGCGCATGCTGAAGCGCACAGTGCGCAGAAGTCGCCAACTGTCAATAGCTGCAGACCTCCGAACTTGGTGTGGCCTTCATATTGGCACAACAACAGTGCGTAGAGAGCTTCATGGAATGGGTTTCCATGGCCGAGCAGCTGCATCCGAGCCTTACATCACCAAGTGCGATGCAAAGCGTGGGATGCCGTGGTGTAAAGCACGCCGCCACTGGACTCGAGAAGTGGAGACGTGTTCTCTGGAGTGACCAATCACGCTTCTCTGTCTGGCAATCCGATGGACGTGTCTGGGTTTGGCGGTTGCCAGGGGAACGGTACTTGCCTGACTGCATTGTGCCAAGTGTAAAGTTTGGTGGAGGGGGGATTATGGTGTGGGAGGATTATTTTTCAGGGGTTGGGCTTGGCTCCTTAGTTCCAGTGAAGGGAACTCTTAAGGCATCAGCACACCAAGACATTTTGGACAATTTAATGCTCCCAACTTTGTGGGAACAGTTTGGGGATGGCCCCTTCCTGTTCCAACATGACTGCGCACCAGTGCACAAAGCAAGGTCCATAAAGACATGGATGAGCGAGTTTGGGGTGGAGGAACTTGACTGGCCTGCACAGAGTCCTGACCTCAACCCGATAGAACACCTTTGGGATGAATTAGAGGGGAGACTGTGACCCCGGCCTTCTCCTCCAACATCAGTACCTGACCTCACAAATGGTCCAACATTCCCATAGACACACTCCTAAACCTTGTGGACGCCTTCCCAGAAGAGTTGAAGCTGTTATAGCTGCAAAGGGCGGGCCAACTCAATACTGAACCCTACGGACTAAGGTTGGGATGTCATTAAAGTTCATGTGCGTGCAAAGGCCGGCGTCCCAATACTTTAGGTAATATAGTGTATATCTATCGATTTATTGATTTATTTCCACACTTCTGGCCCTGGGAGGTATTGGAGATACAGAAAAATAACTTTTCAACCAGCAACGAGTTCAGTAGAGAGCGATGATAGAACGGCCAGCACTCTGACAGCAGAAGGCAAAGTGGGAAAATATGAACAGGAAAACCCAGCAAGCAGCGATCGGGGGAGCAGATGGAGTCAGATTATAATGAACGGGATCAGCAGAATTCTGCGCGTTTCGCACTACTCGTGCCTGGCACAAGGAGAGATCAGGGTGGAGAAGAGAGGAAGCAGGATGGAGACGGAGCTCGGTGGATAATGTGGAGCCATCTGGTCACTTCAGTCGCTGAATTCAGAGACGACATAGGACACAGCTGTATCACAGCGCAGGAGTCAATCAGAGAGCTGTATGTGAACAAGTGTGCAAGCCAAGTATGACTTGTGTTATGAAGTCATCCCGAAGTATACCGGGAAACACCAATCAGATCGCAGAAGAATAACGAAAAATAACTGAAGACAAAAGATTTTTTTTCTTTTTTTAGTTGCAGCTAGAGAAGCGAAGGAACTTGTCCGGATATTATTACAGTCTGTGGAATTCCCCTCCTTGCTATTTGTCCTTGTGACCAACCAAGAGAGAGTGTGATAGGAAATTCAAAATGATACAGTTGTCAACAGAGCAGGAATTGAATGTAAATCTACCAATGGGGGACACCTGTTCTGCTCAGCTCATCCTGTCACATTACAGAGATTCCCTTCCATTTCCTGCTGTGTCTTCTAGGACAGGAAGAATGCACTTTTGGTCTTAGATACACTTTGAGGCCAGGTTCGCAGTATGGCAATCCGTGACCGAGCGGCAAACGTGCACGAAAACGCCCAACACCACCTATCGCGCTGGCAGTGCCATTATTTTCGCAGAAAAAGGTACATGTACCTTTTTCTATGAGATTGTCGCGCCAATGTAACCCCATTGAAATCAATGGGGCCGCGCAGCAACTGCACACGACCGTGCGTCCCGGATCGCCCTGAAGGGTCCGACTGAAGTTTTCTGCATATGTAAACATTTTTGTATATCTTGTAAATAAGTAGGTCAAATAAGGAAACGTTAGTAGAAGAGCCGATTCAATTACAAAGTGACAGTACCGGGACAATGTCCTTTAAGCACCCCAGACGAAAAGCCCAAAATGCGTTCCCCTTCCTTTATAAGCTGTGAACTACTTTAACAAAGATTGCGTGTCCTGCCCGTTTTGCACCTCCTCCTGCTGACGCACACAAAGTGATTGCCTTTGCTGCCTAACCCTCGGCCAGGCAAGTTAGGGGTAGGCTGTGTTGAAAATAAAAATCCCATCATGCCTTTGCCTCTGGTAGTCATGCATTTGGTTGTCAGAGTATTGCAATGCCTCACGGGACTTGTAATTCCACTACAGCTGGGGAGCTGAGGTTGCCTACCCCTGTGGTCTAAGGCAACCCTACTTTTCGATACACAGACATCCACCAGAGGGACAATCTACAATTGTGTGTTGGAAATCAGTATATCGAAATACAGAAGTGCAGGCAAGTATAAAATGCCCAGTGGCAGAACAATTGCCATAGTGATCCAGACGGCCGCTATGGGGAAAAGGGGGGGGGGCCTGGGTCGCTGCTGGCTGTTACTGGCGGCTGTGAGGAGGAACGCGCCGCTGTTCACATCACTGACAACTGGTCAGTGATCTGTGCAAAGGCCAGTTCTTTCTCACAGCTGCCGCGGAGTCCATGACAGCCAGCAGCTGCGGAAAAGGAGGCTGGGCAGCGAAGGAGGCGGGGCCCAATGACTGAGGAGGCGGGGCCCGCCAGCAACCGTGGAGCAGGAGGAGGCGGACAGTGGATCGGGGCTTACAGGAAAGAGGGTTTGACCAGCCCACCTGAGACCCTGCAAAGCCCACTATAGAGAGTCTATGATGGGCTCTGCAGGGTCACTCTCAGGTGGGCTGTT